TCCCTGTCTAATGCTGTCCTGGAGCAAAAAAGGGGGTTATTTGGCATTTTCTCTGGATGCATAAAGAACTATTTCAGGTTGGCCCCATTTTATAAAGGCAGAAATTAGGTGGCAGTTGTTGACTGACCACTTCTGGACCACATTCACCTCCCTGCTGAGGGAGTCCGCTATGGTGGGGTTTTTTGTCCTGATACATGGATGGCTAACAGGAGTACTTTGTGTTGGAGAGCCCATCGCCAGATGTATTATGCTTCTTTGCACAGAGCTAAGGAGTCTGTGCTACAGGTGTGCAGTCAGTGTATACTGAGTCAAATAAATACTCCAAAAATACCTTACCTGTATTTTTCAGGTATTTATTCAACTGAATCAGATTACAGAACCAATCGAGCTGAACACGAATAAAAGCCAATATTATTCACCTTTTATTTAGGCATGCCTTGGAGAAGCTGAGTCGCACCATGGAGGCAGTGTGGGCCGACTTGGAGAAGGGATTTAAAAGAGGCGTCTTTAAATCCCTTCTCATAGCTGGCCCGTGTTGCCACCACCTCAGTGCAACTCAGTGAGTGAACTCAGGCATTTAAAAGGTCTCTGTAACTCTGTACAAGGGACTGTGCAGTGCAACTCGGCAAGTGATCTCAGGTACTTAAAGGGACCGCATCCCTTTACATGCCTTTCTCCCCCATTGAAAACAATGAATTGGCTTGAGGATATTGGAAGAGGTATTCACAACCTTCCTCCTTAACTCTGTAGAGGTTCTCCAACTTCTTAGCAGATGCTGGAGCTGATGCTGGTCTCATATGTATTCCCAACGCTATGTTGAGGACCCCTTGAGCCATTGGTAGAGCAACAGGATCTGAATCTGACACATATAGAACCTTCATGATGGCTTGGGCTCAGAGGAGAGGTAGTCTAATTCTAAAGCCTTATCCATTCGAATGAATTGTTCTGAAGGGCCTCTGTTGGGGAGACTGTAGTAGGCTCCCCTGCTACTTTATCTGGAAATTTCATGGAGGTATCTTCGGAGTTGACCTCGGAACCATGGTCCAGTCTTTCTTCCAACTATGATGGCTGGAGCTCTTCTGATCCTGGCAGATGCTGTGGCTTGTATTGAGATGAGCAACCCTTCAAGCACTTGGAGATAAGTTGGTGAGGATGCTGAATCCCATAAAATGCGTAAATTGGCTGTTGCTCCCAGGAACGCCGTTGAGAAGGCCACTTCCCGGAGTATTGAAACCAAAATCACTATGAAGGAAACCAGGAAAATGGAGCAGTCGGTGCTCCCATCTATTTGTGCTGGTGGGGGGAGGAAGATGCATTCCCGTAGGTGGAGATGCAGGGACCTCTAATACAATGTCCTCTGATGACCCTGGAGAACCTGGTGAGGTGGAGATGCAGGGACCTCTAATACAATGATGACCCTGGAGAACCTGGTGGTGGAGCTGATGGAGATGGTGTCAGGAGATAGGTGAGATGCTTGATTCTGATGTCCAAGGGCTATGGCTGACATCGACAAAGTGACCCCATAACCTCTAGTAGTGAGGTTGAGCGTTGACTCCAAGGTAGGTCTGCCTTTTGATGTTGGAGTGGGGAGCCCTCTCGACATCAGGGAGATGGGGGTCTGTCAACTTCAAGGCAAAGGTGTGCCTTGGCATCAAGGTGATGATGATTGTTGGTATTAAGGAGAAGGCAATTGATATTGAAGTGATGTCAGAGGCACATGCTTAGCCTTTTTTCTTTGCTTTTTTCAGAGGAGGCTCTGATACTGCCCTTTGCCGTCCAGGCATTTTTCCAATGGTTCTGATACCATGGCAATAGGCACTGAGACCCCAGAGGGTGCTCTGGTTCATTTCTCTGAATGAGCCCATTTCTGGGATCAAGAGTCAAAGATGCCCAGAGAGATAGTTACCTTGAAATATAAAAATGTTTGTGGGCAGGGGGAAGCATTGCAGGAAGCCAACCAGAGGGGGGAGGGAGGTAACATGTGAAATGGGTATGAAGAGGGAATGTTTTTAAATGTTGAACATGTAAATCCAAAATAAAAATTTTTTGGAAAAAAAAAGAGTCAAAGATGCCCAAGGCCCTTTCCCACAGGACTGCTTTCAAACACACCAGTCCTTTGTTACTGTCCTTTGGAGTGAATAGCCAGTATGTGTTACAAGAAGGGATATTATGGCCCTCACTGAGGCAGAGCAAGCACAAGTTGTGCACATCATTTGGGGGCATTTCTGTTCCACATTCCCCATACTTTTTGAAAAGAGCCATTTTCCTACCAGAAATTAAATCCTGAACAAAGTCAAAGAAATTTTTTTCTCAAGTGAGAAAAAGCGGTCGTTTTGGAAGAAAACACCCTCTCCTCATGGAAGCAAAGAGAAAACTGAGGGAAGAGTGCTCTCCCCCACCTCTGTCACTTAGTTGGGTGGGAAACACTAGCACAAGATGGAGGGGAGGGGGAGTGCTCCTGAGTTTTGAGTCTCAAAAGCTTATACCCCTGAAATCATGTTGGTCTCTAAGGTGCTACTGGACTCAAATCTAATTGTAAAAAGTGGTTCGCCTTTTTGTGGTGTTGTGTTTTTTTTATGTGGATAATAGCTGTTCTGAATCTGGATTTTGGAGCTAATGCACACCCCCAATATGCAATATATAAAGCAATAATTCTACCAATATGGATTCCAAGTAATTCTTAATTAGTCTGAATGCCCTTGCTTTGGTGGGTTCTAGCCGGACCTTTTATTGTTACTTAAAGGGTAGATGTTGTTCTTTGTGGTACAATGTGGTATAATATTTAGAGCCTTCAAGAGCATGTTGAGCAAAATGAATGCATACCAAGTGTCTACACATAAATGTAAATGTATTCATAATCAAGAGCAGAATATTTTCTATGGCATTTATCAAAGCATTTATCCTTATATAGGTATTACTATAAAATGATGAGAGTGTTTAAAACAAACAGGGACAATCTCATGTTTATATTCAAGATATTTTCACTTCCACCATGAAACTTAAACTGTTCAGTAATCAAAAAAAAGAAAAGAAAATGACTGAACAAAAGAATAGCAATGACATTTAAAAGACATTTTTAAGTGCTGCTAGTTTGCAGTAAACACCCCTTTTCAGTTGTATTTTCATCAACATTTTTGCGAAGAGTTCAGGAGAACTGAAATGACATGGAAAAACTAGGTCCAGCCACCTACCAACATTTACAGAGTTGAGGAGCATACAAACTGCACATATATTTGCAAAAATAATAAGTATCACAGAGATGTTATATGAGAAGTGCTTTGAATCTTCTTACAGTAAATGTTCATCCAAATCCAAATAAGGAAACCTATATGCAGAAAAAAGCTGCTGTGCACCTATCAATTGCTGAACCAAGTGCTGCTGGCATAAATCAGATGTGCATCCAAATGAACCACCCTGTTTAGTTACTGCTGCAATGAGTTACATGTGACTAGAGTTGAAATGGGACATTTAAATATGACTAGACTTATAGTCCCAAATCATCCCACAGGTTATCATATTATTTGCTTCTGACTGTAATCCTGAAGTTTTACACTGGGAATTATTCGGTTTCTTGTTGCAGCCCTCCCATGCCCTCTACTCTGCATCCTGAATTTTTTCCCATCAATCCCCATCCTACATATATAGAGATCTGTAACTGTGTACAGGGAAATATGCATGTATTTTTACAGACACAAGAATAACCAGATTCTCTACAGAGGAACCTCTTGGAAACAGCGTGTTTCCTTTCCTAAAAAATAGAGAAATCCAATTGACTAGATGGATCATTCCAAGGAAAATATGGGAGTTTCCAGATCACTCTTTTAAAAAGTAGCTTGTGGTACAGAGAAGGGGAGAAAGGAAGTTGTTTTGAATGCACCTGAAGTATTGTGTGCAGTTCTGGAGGCATTGCTTCGAAAAGGATGTGGACAGAATGGAGCGGGTGCAGAGGAGTGCAACGAGGATGATCGGGGGCCTGGAGACCAAGTCCTATGAGGAAAGATTGAGGGACTTGGGAATGTTTAGTCTGGAGAAGAGGAAGTTGTGGGGGGAAATGATTGCTCTCTTTAAGTATTTGAAGGACTGTCACTTAGAGGAGAGCAGGGAGCTGTTCCTGTTAGCAGCAGAGGATAGGACTCAATCATGGGTTTAAATTAAGAGTGGGAAGGTATTGGCTGGATATTAGGAACAACTTTTTTACAGTATGAATTGTGCAACAGTGGAATCAGCTGCCTAGGAAGGTGGTGAGCTCCCCTTTACTGGCAGTCCTTAAGCAGTGGCTGGACAAACACTTGTCAGGGATGCTCTAGGCTAATCCTGCATTGAGCAGGGGGTTGGACTAGATGGTCTGTATGGCCCCTTCCAACTCTGTGATGCTATGATTCTATGATCTGTCCCTCTGTGCAGGTTATTCTACATCCTTATCCAAGGGCTATGAGTTTCATTTTTAATTTTCAACTTCAACTGGAGCAAAATACTGAACTGTTGCAGCTTTCTGGGTCAGTGGTCTGTTGGAATGTTTCAATGCTGCTCTTTATTTAAATTGTTTTAATGAAGGTGTTTTGCTATTGGATTTTGTTTTCATAACCACTACTGTTGTAATTAGAGATTGGAAGCCGCCTTGACATCTGGTGCACACAGAGTGTGGGGTACAAATAAGGAAGCCCTAGCAATGCCCAGGGACAGACTCAGGTAGATCTCTCCAATATGGTTACAATGAGTGGATAGCTAAACATCATTCACGCCATCTAAGCTATGAATTAAGAAAATCATTCCAGGTTCTGTGACTTGGTCCTGAATTTGGGGAAACTGAAGACTTTGCCCATACCTATATGTTTTAAAAAATGTGTTTAGCTCTCCCCATAAAAGCATTGTAAGAAAATTTAGTGTTACGAACATTTTAACACATTTCATAATGATCAAAAGGAAATATAAACAGGATATTATGCACACTGTTCTTATCTTTTCAACTGTCTCATCATCATCATCATTTTGCAACTTACTGCTAATTTAATGAGGTATTCAGTGGCCGGTGAAAGGTGTCGTATAGTATAGTCTCTAGAAAGAGCTGTACTATTATAGATTAGATTCCAAACTGTAACATTTTCCCCTTTGTTAGCGAAGTACAGAATGTAGCGTTGTAGAATTCCATTTAAGTCCTCTGGCTCTTTCCATCTGGAAATAGAAGCAACACATCGTTCTATTTAAAAAGTAACTCACACAGTGTAGGTTTTAAAACAACAACAACAACTTGGTGGTAAATATTTAAGGCATGACATCCATCTGGTCACTAAAACATCTGGGAACAAGTAGTGAAAGTATACATGAATTTTCAAAAATCTCCTTAAATGTAATTTTTATTCTTGGGACCCAAATAATTGTGACAATATCTTCAAAGAAAAAGCTACATGCTGATGTTATCACAAGCATATTTTTCCTGTGCCAAGCTTTGCACTGAGGCTATGGCCATATGTAGGTTATACTGATTGCATAAAGACAAAATGGAAATTAGGTTGGCAGGCAAGTGATAATCAAAGGTTCACAGAACCACTAAACTAATCACTTCTATGCATTTAATCATAATAAATTTAATTTTATGTCACAAACTCTATCCCTGATTGAACTCACTAGGATTTTTGCATAACCAATACAATATGTGTGTCCTCTATATAGATGGGAATTTGGCTTATGAGACAGTGTTACTGGGATCAGTCATTAGGCAGGGTCATCTTAGAGATGACACCAAGAGGAGGAGCTTCTCAAGACTCCCAGAATGAACCCAGAATACAAAAATATCTCTCTCTCTTCCCCCCACACTCTTAACAAAATTCCTATTGCAATTGGCAATGGACCACTAATACAACAGTAAGATCTTTACTAAAATATCCTCAAAATTCTTTTGGTCAAAAAAAGAAGACAGTGGGACAGAAATTCTTCAGGAATAGATTTATCAAAACAGAGTTACACCAAAAATACAAAAACAAAACTGATCCCTCTAGCCCAGGATTAAGAGTCCTCAGACAGGTGGACTGCGGCATACCAGTACCACTGATTACAGAAATTCACAAGCCCAAATTTCTTTCTAGTGGTATTGAGCTGGAGCAGTATGGGAATGTAGAGATGCCATGCATTCTCAATGTAAAGTTCAGCAATCTACAGTCTGTATAAAGCCATTATACCTTCCATAATACGCTTCAATAGGATTAGAGCCAAACCATAGGGTTGAATCCATTCCAAATGTGACATTCCATTCACAGAAACAGTTCCATGAGCATGAGTCATCTGTAGCCCAGCCAAAGGCTACATCAGCAGAAAAGAAAAGTGACTGTCCTCAAGACAGGGCCAGCCCCTGAAGGCTGTTGATTTTTTTTTCCTGCCCCTCTTGAGGAATGAGCTGTGTACCCTCTGAATGGTCTTATGTTCCCTTTTACAAGCATTTTGATCACAATCTTTAAGCCACAAAAAACATGGTAGCACTCGCTTGTTTATAAGAAAGAACAAGACAAAGATCTCAGGTTTTCTGCTGTGTTCAGATCTATTCATTTAAAAACTAAATGCCCTCAGTACAGCATACACTACTACCTAGAAAACAGAAAAGAATTAGGTTCCATTTGAGAGGGTCTGTCATAATATTCTGCCAATATCCTGCTTTGCGCTAATCAGACCAGCCAAACTGACAGTCCTGGGAAGCACCTCTTAGCCTGATCTGCAAGTTGACCCTGCTGATGACCAAAGAGAGAAGAAGAAAAAACTATCCCATTAGTCAAGACTGTCCTACCCTGGAACTACTGGAGAAAGAGAAAGCTCGCACTTAACTGTATATAGATTGTTACAGAATCCAAAACTGTCAGGACTGGTGCCTCAACACGAGCTGGTGGCAGTTGTGCTGTAAGCAAGGTGACCTGGGAACTGTTTGTACAGCCAACAACTGTGCAAGCAGTGAGGAGAAATGGGTATGCCGTAAAAGCTCTTAAACCTATAAAAGAAAGGGAACCAGTAGTTACTTAATGTAACATTTAACTTATCCATTTAACCATTTGCATTTAATAAGGAATTAGATTCAGAAAATCTGAAGCATTGAGGAACAGGTAGCATTGCTATGTCTCTGCATTTTTTTTAAAAAAAGGTCAGGGTATTGCAAACACTGTTAACCATGGTTATTTATCTCATTTTGTTCTATGGATTTTCTTGCAAAATACAGTCATTGAAGTATAAGAGAATATGTAATACAACAAAAAGGAGTGTGTGTGTGTGTGTATAAACATCTCATACACACACATACACACCTGGCCAAATCTGAGGATATTTAAATCCAGAGATTAGAGCTGCGAACTAACAAAATGGCTCTTTTGACAAACCTGAAAAATACCCTCAGTGGCTATTGCTAGGCTACCACAACAGTCTGGTCAGCATTCCAGGCTTGGTTTCTGTTTGGTTTCCATCAGAAAAAGGCAGGGGGAGGGGCCTGTCCAGGGCTGTTTTGGCCTTTGAGGGAGGCCAGGCCTGATGGCAACCAATGTTCCCTCTAAGCTGTGGAGTCTTGTGAGCAAAAATTCTCCTTTGTGAGCTCCTGGCATTAAAGTTGTGAGCGAGAGATTTGGCGACTGCATACATTAGTTTGCTCTGGAGCCATTCTTCCTGAGCTAAGGCAAAAACGTGTGAGCCGGAGGCTAAAAAACTGTGAGCTAGCTCACACTAACTCAGCCTAGAGGGAACAGTGGTGGCAACCACAAGGCAACTTGATCCCACCCAACTTCCATGACTCATCCAGGGCTGGCTACTTGCTACTGTTCAACAACAGTCAACCCACAAAAGTTCATGCAGTGTAGTGGTTAGAGTTTCAAACTGGGATCTCAAATCCCCATTCTTCTGTCAAAATTCACTAGGTGACCTTGGGCCAGTTACACATTTTTAGCCTAACTTACCTCTCAGGGTTGTTGTGAGGATAAAATGAAGGAAAGAAATCTGATGTAAGCCTCATTGGGTCCCCATTGTGGAGAAATATATAAATTATATAAATGAAGTAAATAAATAAGACGGGGGTGGATAAAAGATAGATTGGTGGATGAGTGCGAAGGAGAGAAGGAAATAGAGGAAGATTCGGATATGGGAGTTGCTAGGATGATAAAAAGAAGAAATAGTTTGGGGAGGGGATACAAGAAAAAGTGAAGTGCCTCCTGCAAGTAATTGCAGGTTCTCCACAGGGCAAATGGGCCTAGCTCAGCTGGCACTGTGCGATTGGACCATATTTTCCTGGAGAGAGGCTGATGGGGGAGGGGGAGAAGAAAAGCTGAAGACAGAGACAGATAAAATCAGTTTGCCTGGTGGGTGGAAAGGAGAGAGGGAGTAAGAAAAGGGAATAGACTATGGGGCTTTTAGGAAAGGGGAAGAGGACATGATGAGGGAGGGGGAAATGAGATGCCCCTTGCAAGTCCTTGTGGGTCTGCCATTTATCAATTAATATTTCAGAAGCATTATTTTTGCTGAGAAAAAATGTGCTACATATTTTAAAGTGTTTCACCATTTATTGTAGATGTTAAATTGAAGCCCTCACCTTGTACTCATCAGCCCAAGTTTTGACTTCTTTGTTGGATGTAGAGAAGCATTTCCCAACAAAAAACTAAGTAAATCACATGAAAAGCTAAATATTTTCTTTGCTTTTTACCCTAGTCCTGAACACAGCCAGATCAAAAGCATCCTAAAGCTGTTTGCTTTTTAAGGCATGAGGATACTAGGCAATCCCTGAACTTTCAGTTAACAGGGGACAATTGACAAAGGACATATAACTTAAGAACATGTAAGCTGTGCAATCACAGAGGTTGTCCAATGAAACTCTGGGAAGATCCCCAACCTGACTAAGCAAAGACATAGGCAGAGTCCCTGTATATTATTATTATTATTAATTTATTTATTAATTACATTCGACTTTTAGGCCACCCTTCCATGAAAGACAGGGCTCAGGACAGTGTACAACAGTGGTAAAGTTACAAATCCTACCAAGAGGTTTCAAAATTAAAATCAGGGCTTTTTTTCTGGGGGAATGAGCTGGAATGGAGTTTTGGAACCTTTTTGACAGAATTCTTTTAAAAATGATTAAAAGTCTATGAGTTTCCAGTACACAGATTGAAAACTTCATTTCCCTTCCGGCATCTCTTCCTCCACCTCAAAAAAAGCCTGATTAAAATGATACATAAAATACAATTTAAAGCAGCTTAAATGGCAAGAATTCCTGTAGTGTCATTGCCTTGTAGAGAAAGGAGGCAGGGAAAGAAAGAGGAAGAGGAGTGCTGTCTTCCACTTAATGCCTGGTGGAACATCTCTGCCTTACATGTCCCACAGAGCATGGATGTTATTTGGCAGAGAGTTCCAGCAGGTAGGGGCCAAGGAAGAAAAAGCCCTGGCCCTAGCTGAGGACAGCCAGATGTCTCTCAGGCTGGGGACCACCAGGAAGTTCTTATGTCCTGAGCACAAAGCTCTTCTGGAGGTGTACCAGGAGAGGTGGTCCCAAAGGTACTTGGGTCCCAGGCTGCTAAGGGCTTTGAAGGTTAACACCAGAACCTTGAATCTGATCCAATACTCCACTGGAAGCCAGTGCAGCTTGCGCAGCACAGGTTGGATATGTGTCATACGAGGGTTCCCAGGGATGACCCGTGCAGCCACATTCTGGATCAGCTGAAGTTTCCAGGTCAGCCTCAAGGGCAGCCCCATGTAGAATGAGTTACATTAGTCTAGCCTGGAGGTGACTGTTGCATGGATTACTGTACCTAGGTCAGGACGAGACAGGCAAGGGGCCAGCTGCCTGACTGAGCACAGCTGGAAAAATGCCAATCTGGCAACATTTGTGATCTTGGCACCAAGAGTCAGGAGTCGGTCTCCCAAACCCGTGCCCCCCCCCACCAGCCTCAGAACCTCTGTCTTATCAGGATTCAGACTCAATCAACTCTGCTTTAACCATCTCACCATGGCCTCCAAACCCTCAGCCAAATTCGCAGGAGTGGTATCTGGACAGCCACCCATCAATAGGTATAGCTGAGTGTCATCAGTGTACTGGTGACATCCCAGGCTGAGACTCCACACCAGTTGGGTGAGAGGGTGCATATAGATGTTAAATAACACTGGGGAGAGGATTGCCCTGAGGAACCCCACATATCAGTGGATGCCTAGTTGATACCCTCTCACCCAGCACCACACTGTGTCCCTGACCATGGAGAAATGAGGCGAATCACTGTAAGGCAACCCCATGGACTCCTACGTTGGCAAGATGGTGGGTTAAAATATTGTGATTGACCATGTCAAATGCTGCTGTAAGATCGAGCAATAACAGCAGCACCAACCCTTCTTGATCCAACCGCCTGGGGAGATCATCTGTGAGGGCAACCAAAACCATCTCCATCTTGTGGCAGGGGTGGAAACCGGACTAAAATGGGTCCAATGTTGATGTGTCATCCAGGAATTTCTGGAGCTGTTGTGCTGCTGCTCTTTCAATTACCTTACTCAGAAATGAAAAATTCAAGACTGGGTGGTAATTGGAAAAATCCATAGGATCCAAGGTTGGTTTTTTTCAAGAACGACACAACCATAGCCCCTCTGGTAGGCCCCTGAACCCAGGGATGGATTATCTTTGTTATTTTGTCATCTACCCACATGATTTTGACTGGAGCTAGAATAGAGCTTTTATCAGTCACATGAGCTACTGAGAAAGCTCACAGAGAGTGTATACAGGGACTCTACCTTATTTGTAATGGATATTCTCTACGAAGCAGACTAGGCAAGGGACTGGCAAGAGATAGAGAATATCTATTCCCTCTCCAACACCTCCAATTCCCTTTCTGTTAGGTCAGAAGTTGGGAAATGTAATCCCAGGATACTTGAGCCTATTGAATTCTGTGTTTCCAAAACTCACTGTCAAGAATCTGGGTTTACAAATAAATAACAAGTGAGGATATTCACTGTCTGCTGACCTCCACAAGCTCCCTTCTTGGCCTCCAAGGGCCAGCAGCATTGGTAGCAGCAGCAGACCCAGCCCACACAACAGCAAAAGAGGCGGGAAGGAAAAATGAACAGTGAAAAACAAATATAACAATGAAGATTAATAGCACTAACAACAAATATTATGAAAACAAATATGGGTTGGGGCTGTTGCCAAGAGGCTGTTCCAGATTGCGCTGTTAAAGAGACGCTTTTACTATCACTGCCTTGCTGGATGGTGAATTGGGTGCCAGGGCAATGGACAGAGCTGTGTTCCCAAGCTGGGTGCCCCATGCTGGACTATGGACTGTGTACTGTGGCCAGGGCGGCTCTGTGCCAAAGGCACATTCCAAGCCAAAACTGGACCAAGGACTACAGAGGACTTCTGCCCATGCACCACTCTGCATCTGCACAAGCACCATGATGCAGACCAGCAGCCCTGGTCTCCATGAACACAGAAGCAGCAGCCAACCAGAGAGGAGTCACGTTCTGACAGAGGACAGATGTTCCTACAAAGAAGCCATGAAGGGATCACTTCTCCATTATGCAGCACATTCCTTCTCCCCCTGAGTCATCCTCAAAGACTGTTGCCCAGTCAGAAACAAAAGATATGAGGAGCCTCCCTGCCACTGATCCAGATAATGCGAATAATAAGCATCATATTGTTGAAGTGATGGCACCCTCCTTCCCCCTTCCATTGTTTCACCCCTTCCCCAAGAGGTGTCACTCCCTTACACACATCAACCCTAAATTGTCCAATGATCATTTCCTTTGTCCTATCCATCCCAAAGTATATTTTTCCTTATACATTTCTAGAGGACCAGTGACCACCCGGCTCCTGCTTCAGGTCACAAAACTGGCTACTTAAGGAGAACTCTCTGCACATGCAGCTGCCTCTTTTTGGTCTCTTGTTCTCTTTTTGGATGCCCAACCTTTTTGGTCTCTTGTTCTGTTTTCGGATGCTCAACCAAATCCAGTGAAATATTCTCTGTACAAGGTGGAAGCTTG